CAATTCTCTATATTCATGATTAAATCAGTATTGGTCACAATTCTCTATATTCATGATTAAATCAGTATTGGTCACAATTCTCTATATTCATGATTAAATCAGTATTGGCCACAATTCTCTATATTCATGATTAAATCAGTATTGCCCACAATTCTCTATATTCATGATTAAATCAGTATTGGTCACAATTCTCTATATTCATGATTAAATCAGTATTGGCCACCATTCTCTATATTCATGATTAAATCAGTATTGGTCACAATTCTCTATATTCATGATTAAATCAGTATTGGCCACAATTCTCTATATTCATGATTAAATCAGTATTGGTCACAATTCTCAATATTCATGATTAAATCAGTATTGGTCACAATTCTCTATATTCATGATTAAATCAGTATTGGCCACAATTCTCTATATTCATGATTAAATCAGTATTGGCCACAATTCTCTATATTCATGATTAAATCAGTATTGGCCACAATTCTCTATATTCATGATTAAATTAGTATTGGTCACAATTCTCTATATTCATGATTAAATCAGTATTGGCCACAATTCTCTATATTCTTGATTAAATCAGTATTGGCCACAATTCTCTATATTCATGATTAAATCAGTATTGGCCACAATTCTCTATATTCATGATTAAATCAGTATTGGCCACAATTCTCTATATTCATGATTAAATCAGTATTGGTCACAATTCTCTATATTCATGATTAAATCAGTATTGGTCACAATTCTCTATATTCATGATTAAATCAGTATTGGTCACAATTCTCAATATTCATGATTAAATCAGTATTGGTCACAATTCTCTATATTCTTGATTAAATCAGTATTGGCCACAATTCTCTATATTCATGATTAAATCAGTATTGGCCACAATTCTCTATATTCTTGCATGCTATGTTTCACCTACTAAAAGTCTATTCTATTCTAAATATGATATTGATATTTTTATGTTATTATAGAAGATCTAGTTCTCCAGTATTTTGATAAAGGTGTATTATTGATAACTGGAGATTTAAATGGTAGAACAGGTAATCTGAATGATATTATTGAATACGATAAGTTACCAGAATGTTTACTGAACGATTTGGATAAGATATTTAGGTACCTGGCGACTTATTGCCAGTGCGGCAAAATGCTGACCCTATCGTTAACTGTCATGGCCGCCAGATTCTTACATTATGCAAATCAACTGGTCTTAAAATAATTAATGGTAGGCACAAAGACGATTTTTATGGTAATGTCACTTCTATGACTAAACAGGGGTCAAGTTTGACTGATTATCTGCTCATTAATAGGAAATATTTTCAAAATATAATATAGTTTGATTCTGGTACCTTTACCGAGTCTCGTACCATGCTCCGGTGTGTTTTGAGTTTTCAAGTGATATAAATTTAACTCGAAACGACTTTATCAGGTACCTTAAGCTCACGTAATGATCATACACCCACTATCCAGCAACTTGATACTGACATTACAACGAATATTACAAACTCAAATATAAATGGACTGAACAAGTTATCAAGAATTTTGTAAAAGCCTTAACAATATTTTACTTGAAGCGTTTCAGCTTCACGAATTTAATCAAGAAAGTATAAATTCATCTGTTAAATTACTCACTGAACTGATTGTTTTAGAGCAAGCACCTCAACTGAAATCAGGGTTAATAAGAGACCTGTTCTCAATATTGATAAACCATCAATTCAATGAATTGTGTACAGTTAAATATAAGAATTATAAATATAAGAATTATAAATATGCGTTGTTTGTGTACAATAGGAACAAATGTCAGAAAAACAAAACTGTTTTAGTAAATTGTAAATATGAATACAAATCTGTGGAGAAAAGGCTTAAACAGGAGTACAAACGTACTAAAGGAAATATGACATTGTATGAATTCATGCGCAAATCAAAATCCTAACCCTAAGACATTCTATTAAACAACAAAAGGTTAACAATGTTTCACAATTAGAAGATTTTTATTCACAATTTAGAAACGTTTCCTTCCTGGAACCAACAGAAAACATTGATATGATTAATTTTTTGAATAATTTTGAAAACATGAATGGTACTGAGCATAATCCCACTTTGAATGCCTATATCACTGAATCTGAGATTAAACAAACAAACAATTAAACAATTAAAATTAAATAAAGCTTCAGCTATAGATAGTATTCAAAATGAGATGTTGATATTTTGTAATGCTGCAATATTACCTATACCATTATAAAACCACATTATTGTTTAACTGATAATAATAAGTTTCTTTATTCAGTATAGAAGGTCGTGACCCATGATACAATGTATAATTACATCAACAATTGTATAAATAAATACTGTAAATATGTAAATAAATATTATATAATGATAACAAGATGGAGGTCGCCTAGGAGAGTGAACGCGGCACCCTTTCGTACAATATTTCAACAATCACATTTACATACACAATTTTCGACTATATCTGGCAAAAACCAACCATAATAAATGATAATTACAAATTTCAGAAAGTGTGTGGCAAAGACCAAACAAACTTCTTAATACGATCGAATTTCGAGCTATGTATGATCAAAATCCAACCATACTTCTTAATAAATTTAAATGTTGGACTATGTATGGAAATCACCAACCATTCTTCCTAATAAATTCAAATTTCAGAACTGTCTTAGTAACCAAATATACTTAACTATTCTTATGTATTATCAATCCTTCTTCTCTCAAGGAGGCTACTGATGTCAAACTGTCACAATCTTTTATTTGACACAGATTTTCAATGAGATTCGGATCAAAGTATTCAACTTGGAACTTTACTGGGATATATTTAGTTCTTAAAGTTGGGAGGGCAGGGCAATTCATCTTGAAGTGATACAGAGATTCATTTTACAAAGAGTGCATATAGGGGTTTTAACAATACCTCTTCTAAATAATTTACATCATAATGGCAACAAATTTAACCTTAACCTTGTGATATTCCGCCTTTTATATAGACTAATATTGCAAGATAGATATGTTTCCTGGCATATAACTTGCTTAAAATTTGTATACTGGCTAAGACTATCACAGCAGGTTAATCTTGCCGACCATTCTTTTAATTAATACTATCAGCATTAAAAACATAACCAAGGCCTAATGAGAATAACATTAATCTGATATTTGAGGTCCATGTGACTCGTCCTGCCTCACCTAGTTTCTTAAGCATCAAATAGATTTGTTTCGGATATCTAGTGATAGGCATGTTAGCTAACTTGCACCAATACTTGATACAAGCAGACATATAGTGGATGTTTATGTCATATCGCCCGTATTCTCCTAGTGCGCCTGCAGTTGGTGCAGATTTGTGTATGCCCAATATAAATTTGCAGAAATTTGCCTGGACCCTTTCAATATCTGGCCTATAGACATAGCCCCATACTTGTGCGCCATACAGTAATATAGATCTAATTATACTATCAAAAATTTTGAAGGACACATTAAGCGAGGGGTGGCCTATCTTACATATGAAAGACTTGATTGGGATTAAGGCTTTTTCTGATTTCAAGGATAAATTATAAAGACATTTGCTCCACTTCAACCTAGAGGAAAATATGAAACCTAAGTAATTGTAGTATGTGACACATTCGAGGCGGTCACCCTTAAAGATCCATTTTTCATTTTTCCTCAAGATACCTCCATTACGGAAAACTATTATTTTTGTTTTGCTAAGATTGACATTTAATTGCCAATTTTCACAGAAAAGTTCTAGAGTGTTAATCTTCTTTTGTAGGTCGCCTACACTGTCAGAGACTAAACTTCAGCGTTCAATAATGCCAATATGTCCTTGACCTCTTGTATGGTAAATATTCCTCTAGCATTGCTTTTTTCCAGGAGATCAATTAATTGGTTTATATAGAAGCAGAATAATATTGGGCTTAAAATACATCCCCAGCGTACACCAGTGTGGCATTCGAAATATGAGGTTATTCGGTTACCTAACTTAACTCTAGATAGCACAGATGTATACACATTAACTAAAGCTCTATATATTTTACCCTGAATGCCCCTTGTAAAAAGCAATGACATCAGTTTTTGTCTATTTATCGAGTCAAAACGCTTTTGAAAAATCTACAAATAGTGTGTAAAATCTACCTTTTGATTTTGTCAAATACTTTTCTACGAGGCCACTCAGTGTAAAAAATATGATCCACAGTTGAATACTGCGGTCTGCAACCAGCTTGAGCTTCTACATATTTATCATTTATATCTGACCAAGTTTGCAATCTTGAATTCAACACAGATGCATAATTTTGTTAACACAGTTCAGTAGAGATATTCCCCCATAGTTATTGAGGTCAGATGTGGCAGATGAAGGGGGACAATTAATGCATTTGACCATGACTCTGGAAAGTAAGTGTCTGCGTTGAACACTCCATTGAATAATTTACATAGGATATTTGCAAATAGTTCTGGACATGCCTTAAATACGTCGATACCTATTCCGTCGGGACCAGGTGATGTGCCAGATTTCATGTTTTTCGGGCAATTCAAAATTTCAGTTTCGGTTATTGCCTCGGTCAACAGTTTCTGATTATCGACACACCCATGATCATCACCATTGGCCCCAATATTAGTACTTGCTGATGTTAAGCTGTCCTTATTTTTCTTTAAATTATATTGTAGACTCTCTATGGGGCCTGCCGCCTTGAACAACGGCTAATTCAAATTATACACATACCAGTGAAGGTTTTGTTGATCTATGTCTACAAAGATAACAATAATTTTTCTAGAGTAGTGATTTCAATGATGGTTTACGAAGTTCGTGTCAGTTATTTCTATGTAAGAACGGCGAGGTTACGGATGATCTAAAATCTAACGAATAAAAAAGCTACACAAGAGATTTTATAAATATAAAAGTTGTGACATTTATTGAGTTCATAAGCTACTTTCACTACCTAATTACAATATCAATATATATCTATATATACTGGCGTTCAAAAGACAATATCGAAATATTATATACTGTTGTATACACCGCTACATTGTAAATATATACTGTAATATACACCGCTACATTGTAAATATATACTGTAATATACACTGCTGCATTGTAAATATATACTGTTATATACACCGCTACATTGTAAATATATACTGTAATATACACCGATACATTGTAAATATATACTGTAATATACACGACTACATTGTAAATATATACTGTAATATACACTGCTACATTGTAAATATGTACTGTTATATACACTGCTACATTGTAAATATATACTGTTATATACACCGATACATTGTAAATATATACTGTTATATGCATTGCTACATTGTAAATATATACTGTTATATATACTGCTACATTGTAAATATATACTGTTATATACACGACTACATTGTAAATATATACTGTAATATATATTTACAATGTAGTCGTGTATATTACTGTATATATTTACAATGTAGTCGTGTATATAACAGTATATATTTACAATGTAGTCATGTATATAACAGTATATATTTACAATGTAGCGGTGTATATAACAGTATACATTTACAATGTAGCGTGTATATAACAGTATATATTTACAATGTAGTCGTGTATATTACAATATATATTTACAATGTAGTCTTGTATATAACAGTATATATTTACAATGTAGTGGTGTATATTACAGTATATATTTACAATGTAGTGGTGTATATTACAGTATATATTTATAATACAGCGGTGTATATTACAGTATATATTTACAATGTTGCGGTGTATATAACAGTAAATATTTACAATGTAGTCTTGTATATAACAGTATATATTTACAATGAAGCGGTGTATATTACAGTATATATTTATAATGCAGCGGTGTATATTACAGTATATATTACAATA